TGGCGCGCTTAAGTGGCTTAGAGTGGTAGGATCCTGGATCCGAGTTTCCGACACGCAGCAAATATCGATTCTTAAGGATTCCAATGTGCGAGCCAGAGAGGCTTTTTGACCTAGCTGCATCAAAGTCCTCAGGTTGAAGGCCCCCAGATAAAGTGATTAGCGAGGCTTTAGAATCTGCAATCCATTCCGTGGTAAATCACTTAGTGCTATTTGGCAATGACCTTTGGCGAGTGACATCCAAGTTGGTTGAAGGACTATTATAGGTCGGAAGAAGGGGCAAACGGAGAGGGTTAGGAACGGAAAACAGAGTTAAACAAAGGTTGGGATATCCGAGCAGTAGCCCACTTATCACTACTCACCCCGCTCGATGCAATGGGCAACGCAGTCCTGATTATCCTGCGCGACGACCGATGCAGTATGGAATTATTTTTTGTTTGTGTATGCGTACAAATAGTTGTATAAGTCACGTGATGCTCCCTGGATGGGGACCTCGGGATCATAGGAGTCAAGCGATAGAGACAGTGATATGACTGAGTGCTCGTGCATATCAATTTCTTTGCTAATTTGGTCTACCGAAAGTCTTCAGTTTCACTTTCAGGACACTTCTCCCAAACTTCTTTGGGGGGTGGTGGCCCGGTGGTAACGTCATGAAATGATCACCCCGGGGTGTATGCCCGAATCCCACCACTACCACCACCACCACCACCGCTTGACTTTTTCCATTGTGTATGTGTTGAATCTCAGCCCCGTCTGACTGGCCNCTGGCCGCTTTCCCCTTCCTCAAAACTGTATCTCTGCATATTCAATGAAAGGAAGTGAAATTAAATGAAAAATAATCCGAAGAAGTATTCAAAAGACAGCAATCAAAACCACTGCACAATAGTGTATGGTTAACGATTATTCAAGGTGTAAAGGAATAACCGGATGAGTCTATTTCAGCATGATTAAATAGAAGAACCATCGGAGGATGGCGTCCGAATAGTCATCATTATGTGAACACCCGAGCAGTAGGAAAGAGAAAGACTTTGAAGCTATAGAATTTCTCCTTTGGAATTTGGAAGCATTTCCTGCTCACGTTTCTTTTATCTTTTTCCTTTACTTCCTTTTTTTCAAAAAACATAGCGATCCAATAATCGAGAGGTTGGGATTTGGCGATAAAAGAGCAAAGAATGGTAAACGTCATTAGATTGTGGTAGGATTCGAACACACGTTCGCCCGGA